CTGGAATTGAAACAGATAAGTTATTCTCTCACAGGGAACTGCACCTGAGAACATAGAAACTTGAACTGAGAACATCTAAGCTATTCCTCCATATGGGTGAGGAATCAGAGAATGGCAGTTTGTGTGTCATTCCTATGGTGACACATTTCTCCCAGGACATTCACTGTTTACACCAGTTGTCCCAGTATATTTACCAGTAGTGTCTTCTCTCAAAATGTTCCAATTTAGAAACTAAATGACATGGTCACATTAATCACTCAATATTGTGATGGAAAATAATGAAGCTCAACTTGAACAGCAACTATATAGGTATCATTCTGGGTTCCATCATACAAGTCAAGAGACTCAATTTTCATAATTTGGAAAGAGGGACAGAACTTACCCTTGTAAGAGAGCAAGTGCCTTTGAACTATGAAGGCTCCCATCTTTTATATTCTACAAAGGGGGAACCACCTTTCTGAAATTGGGTCTCCTATACTGTTGCTGAATAGGTAGGTGCTTGCTATTAATGCTGGTATGCAGAGTAGTTGTCCCTAACACACAAGTTGTAAGTATGATTGCTACGAAGGATTTGCCATCCTGTATTCTGGTCATAGAAGCATGGAAGTTTACAGTCTTCGTGTGGATGCTGATAAGCAACTGGGACTGTCACTGGGGTTTAACATTCATGGTACATTCACTAATGTTCTATATCAACAAAAGTCAACTTTCAGGGAGAAAGAAGAATGAAACAGATGCATAAAGAACAGCAGAGCAGGGCTGAGATTGTGGCTCAGGGTTAGAGTACTCACCTAGTACATGCAAGGCCCTGGGTTTGATCCTCAGCACCACATAAAAATAAACAAATAAACTAAAGGTATTGTGTCCAACTACAACTAAAAAATAAATATTAAAAAAAGAACAGCAGAGCAGAAAAAAGGGTACACTGAGTTTCTTCTTATGTTCCACACTCTTTTTGAGCTGCCCTTGATGTATGTGACACCATTTCTTCATAATTACAATGGATTTATAGTCCAGTTCTCTCCAAAAGCTTTCTGTAATTTTCAGTTCTTAAAGTCCCAATATCACTGTGAATCTAAACTGAAAATAATATTAAATTTTATCTGTGATCAGATCAGTAAATGAAATTCATTTATTTATGCTTTTATTAGATGAATATTGAATGTTTAGTGTATTTTCAACATTGTGTGGGCTTCAGGGCATACAGTAAACCAGATAAACATATTCCTACCTCCTTGAAGATATCAAACTAATAATTATAGATGTGAGATATTCCCATTCTGCTTCAAAAGATTGATCAAATAACTTACTAGAGTATTCAAAGCCTTGTTTATGTATTCAGGGTATCCATCTGCTTTGGGTTAATAGTCTGTGAAGAGTCATTGAAATGAAAACTCTCTGCCCAAGAATGGATTCTATTCTAAACAGACAGACTTGAAAACATATGAAAAGATATGTGTTACCCCAAAATATCTATGTGTAAATATGGAAATATGCTTATGTATATATGATGTAAWTTTTTGTGTTAACTTTAAAAAAATTGCTCTACCATTTCATTACTTTTTGCATCCTATGATAGACATGTCACTTGATGGGGTCTTATGTGGTTGCTGGGAAATATCACATGAAAAAACAATTCTACTATGTTAGCCAAACCTCTATGGAGAAAGGGTTTTTTGTTTTTTCCTGAAAATTTAGGGGCGTAAATATTGTTCCAAGTCTAAGAGAAACTTTAAAGGTGATTTGGAGGTACGGGATTCTTGAAAAAAAATTTCTCAAGCTTTGTAAGTAAGACAAGTAAGATTTCTTTTAGTATTCCCTTAAGGCAACAAGCCATTGTGGGTTTTTTTTTTTGATATGCATTAATTTATTTTCACTGAATATAATTCTGCTGGGAAACCTAAGTGCAGAACAGTCCAGCAATTTCTCTTCAGGTGTGAACACTATTAACAGATGGGGCAGAACAGGCCTGACAGGGCACCTGTGAGAACATTTTGATTTTAGGTTAGGGGTTCTAGGGATATAATGGAAAATCTCCCAAGTTTATCAAAAGTTGGGGTAGTGAAGTTTCAACAGTTGTAGGCTAGTATTTAGAGTTTTAAAAAGGCAAAAATCTGAAGACTATGACCCAGGAAGACTGAAACTACACCTCTCTCTCTCATTTCCTCTTAAGATAGAACCTGATGGGTATGTCCATTGTCCTCTCCACCTGTCGTCAGTGAGGGGAAGGGACAAGAGGCATTTTTTTCTGTACTGTCTACAGAGATGTGGAGTCTGTATATAAGCTGACAAATCCTTGCTAGTGATGTTGATAATCATGTTGAGAGAGGGCTAGGGCAGCCCACTGTTCCAGCACTTTTCATACACTGCCCATTGAATTTTCATAAGCATGAGACATGTACTATAATTATCCTTATTTATGGATGAGTAAATTAAAGCAAAGAGAGTTCACACAGTCTGTCTAAGGTCATAGGCAGAAAGTGGCATCCCTAGAGTTTGAACTAGGGCCTGCTGGCTGCAGAAAGTATGATTCAAACAAATTTTTCCTGACTTTTCTTAATGGAAGTTAATTGGTAGCAGCCGGTAAGTGTGGCCCATAGCAGGTGCTCAATGAGCCTTTATTGACTGACTGACCATTGGATTTGTGGGCAGCTCTCCTTGATTTGCCAAAAGGTTAACCCCCAAATGTGCAGTCAGATGTTGCAGAAGGCTGGCTTTGCACTTTCCCCTCCCTATTACATCTATTGGAGATGGAAACCTGGTAAATTTGGGGGTATTCTTAATCTTAGAAAGAAAAAGAAAAGTTGGGTTTTTTTTTTCTCTTTCTGGGTCACATATCTCTTTTTCAGAATTACATAAGAGATAAAAATCTTTTCCAAAAAAAAATACCCGCCCACAAAAAGTTTTGCATAATATCCTGSATTGTTTAAATCTTTAAAACCTTCCAGGAATAACACCAGTAGTTTTGGGGATAGTGTCTCTAAAATTTGAATGTCCAAACAGTTAATTTTCAAGCCATTTATGTGAATGCTTGATTCAGAGAAAATTGCATTCACATTTTATTGAGGTATTTGCTTTTGTTTTCCTCCTCCAGGGGAAAGCTCTGTGCCAGTGTTACAGTTGGCTGTGGTCACTAGCTGGCTGCCTGGTAACAGCACAGTTTGTGCATTCCATGGCGAGGCTCCAGAAAGGCAGAAAGCACTGCTGGGGAGCGGATGTACGARCCCCAGGTTTCTGACATGAACATTACTAATGCTGCTGCTGAAAGACCTCATTATTATCATGGCAGATACAGGGAGAACAAAGGGACCATTTTCAGCACAGAGAGCTATCTGTTGTTGCTAATTGAATATTTTTTTTAATTATGGTTTTAAGTTGGTCAGAGTATTCTAGCATGTATTTTTTGGCATGAGTTCATTAAGGAGTTTCTCTTAATACATGGACTGAGGAGCACATCCTCACACACTCACAAGCCTCCTTTATTTGAATTATGGTGAACAACAGATGAAAGTGTAGCCATTGTTTGAGGACTTTACATTATTTTTGGCCAAGAAGAAATAGAAAGTATAGGAAAAAAATGACATGAATTTGGATATCTTCTTTTTTTTGCATTTAAGATTCTCTGGAAAAGAATATAATTTAATTAACATGAAATCCTTCCATGAGATCGGAGAAATAGAAACATGATTTATTGCTGGAAATGATGTTTTTTATTTCTCAGCTGAAGACTAGAAATATCCAACAACTTTGGGTAGTGGGTGGTTTCTTTGTCTGTAAAACTATATTTCACTTTTCTGGGCACAATGAGGAGGAGGAGGGTGACTGAGTGAAAACACTGGATGGAGATACAAAGACCCTGATTCAGTTCCTGTTCTGCCATCAACATGTGTGATCTTCAATAGGCAATTACCTTCCTGAGTTTGAGGCTTCTGTTTAAAGGAGAGAAGTTGAGCTGTCAGGTCCTTGTAAGCTCTAAAACACTATTATTYTTTTTTCCTTTAATTTTTCTTTTATTTATTTTAAATATTTTATTGGTGTATTATAATTATACATATTAGTGGAATTCATTATTACATAGTTGTACATGCACACAATATAATGATTTAGGAAATGTGATTATTTTGTTTATTTTCTTCCTTCCTTTCTTTTTTTTTTCCCCCTTTGGTGACTTGAGTCAAAGCACTTGAACCTCACAGCTGAACTCCTTGAAAATCTGTGATCCTTGTTCCATTAGCAAGGTCATGGGGCTTCAAATACATCACAGCATCTTGGATACAGCAAAAGGATTGTTCCACTGAAAAATGAAGCCAATGCTTAGAATTTCTTTTGACTTCCTCTTACTTTCAGCATCAAGTGCAGAGCATTCTTAATATATTTTTCGTTTGCATTGTGACAGAAGTTCAGGGAGAAACACGCAGTGTCTTTCAATCTTCTCCCTGAAACTCAGTCTAATTCCTTATTGATTTTATTTTTATTTTTTATTTTTTTTTACTATCTTTTTCATCTGGGAAGCCTTAGGAGGCACTTGGGTCTGTTAATTGTAAAATGGCCCAAGAGAGACCTTGTTTAGCTGAAATATTTACCTTCATTTGAGCCATTTCACTTCCATGATTTTGATTTTCCCAAATATCGGCTTCCTTCTCCCTGGCTGAAATCACCCTAGGAAACTTAGAGTCAAAGAACAGAACATAAAATAAAATCAGAAAATAAAAGTTTGCTGTATTTATTCTTTCAAGAGATGAGGATAGGAGGTTCTATTATATTTTGATGCTGACATAAACCACATGAAGGGGAAATATGTAATAGAAGTGGTGTCCCTGAACTTCAGAGTAGGTATTGGTGCTTTGGTTCAAAGGCAAATTTGTAATCTCATCATAAATTTTCAGTATACTGGAGAAACATTCATCTGAAAAGCTGTATAGSAATTAACATTTTGTTTCTTCCTACAGAAAGTTGGTGATGACCCTGTGGATCCTTTCTCTTAAGAACTAGGTTTCCTTTCACATTCTAGTCTCCTCTAAGGGTCGATTCATGAAGTCTTGAATAGCCTGGTGCAAAGGAATCCATTTTTTGATAGACATTTGCAGAGCTGTAATCCAGCTGCAGAAAAAAACCAAAACAGTATTAGAACAGGTCACTAAACCAATTGTTGGACTCTGGAGATATGAAGTAGTAGAATATCTTTTAATTTATTTTCTAATTGTTTTTCTTGGTTGCTTAGCTTGAAATTAATAGGATAAACCACACTCCTTAGATTCTGAAGTCAGAAGGTAAAATACCACATGTGGACTATGCAGTGATAGTGATGAAGTTTGATAATATAAACAGTAGAATCCAAAGAAAGTATAATGTTTGTAAATATTCATTAATGGATATAAAGGTTTTTAAAGATTGTGATTAATATTTTATTGTTTCTATTTAATTTAAATTTTAGTTGATTAAATGTAATCAAATATTGCCAGATGGTCAAATGTTTTTAAATTGGGAGGCCACAACAAACACTMCAGTTAAGTCTCCTTTCATCTCCCTTTTTTTAAATTTTGTTGGATGATATTTTATAAACTTGTCCATATAACATTTACTCTAAGGGCAAGTGCTAGTTTTTAAAAAATACCACCAACAATGACCGAAACAAATGAACTAGAAATCTTTCCAGCAGAATGTCTCAGAAATACTAACAGGTTAATGTGCTCTGTGATTCTCTGAGAGGAGAATATGATTTGTGTCATTTCCTGAATTTACTTTAGGGATAAGTAGAGTATCTTGTGGATCCAGAGTCCTATGCACTTTGTAACCCTATGCTGTTATGCTTTGAAATATTTCTATAATGTCTCAATATTTTTCTGATAAAATCTCCTGTGAATTTAACAGTGAGGGCCAACCATTCAACCTCCTCTCATAGAGAAGCTGGTGGACTTCATCAGATGAGCCTACACTCTGTTTTAGTGACTCTCTTTCTCTGATATGCTAGGTGAAGCCATACCCAGGTATCTGTCTTTACCTGCTGTAGGGATGGTAACACATGCCCAGGAAGGAGATCCTGGTAAAATATCTAGTAGTTCTACCCTCACAATCCTCTAGCCCAGCCTTAGGAATGAGAGATACAGGCAAAGTTTACCACATTGAAGAAGGTGTAAGAGATCTCTATATCCCTTCCTCAAATGGACATTTGGTGGAAATCTCCCTTTTAGAATTTTATTTCTTTGGGTTCAAACAATGTGTCTAGTTCTTGCAAATGTCCTTGGAAATTTTTTGCCATGTCATTTGCCACACTAAGTTACTGGGAATTTCTTTCTTAGATTCTTGTTTTCCACACAGTTGTATAAAGGGTTTGGATGAGGTAGGGGATGGTCATGAAGCAGGTGAAAGTAGGGATAGAAAATGGAGGGTACTGGATATCTTGGAGATTGAAGTYGGGTCATGGAGACTGAAGGGAGGAGAATACTTTCAGTAACAGAGAGCATTTCCTCTGTCTCAAGGTTTTGTCTCTGTTAACTTGATTCTTTTTCAGAATCATTATGAACTAAGTGGTATTTTTTGCATGTCAACATGGATACTGAATGCATCACAAATTAGGTAAATTCTATCTCCTTCAGTGGCTTATAATAAAAGGAAACCACCAACCAAATGTAGGTGGATATATTAAATACGAGTGAAATAAAATCTGTGGATTAATAAATTATAAGAGTTACAGATGATGGTGTTTGTGGATATTTTATGTTGAAGCTTGAGGTAGCAACTGCCTGGGGAAGAATTGAAGATTACTACTTTTCCATTTGAAAAAAATAAAAGAAACCTTTTAGAATAGTTATCTAAGGAGGCATTGGAGAAAAAAAAAACCTATTCTATGGAATATTAACTATGAAAACTACAATGAAAGAGAGGGATTTAACTGAAGATGTGGATTTGGAAAATAAGGACAAGGGTTTGCTAAGAAGGCCTTGTCAGGACTGATAAAGAAGAAGAAATATGAAGTCCTTGGCTTACCGCTGGTTTTCTGTTTTATTTTCTGCACAGAGATAGAAAGTCTTGAACTCTTCTGATGGAGGTTTGAGTTCAATTACTGATTGTTTGAAGCTATGGGTCTGTTCACTCACCCTATATCCTTGAAGATATAGGCCACCTACAGAGCATGAAAAAAAATTAACGCATGTGAGAATAGGGAAAGAGTAAAAAGGAGAAAAGRTGTCTGAAAAGGTTTCAAGAACATTTTGTGTGTGAAGAACCCTCTAATCCAGCTGTCTCATTTCACAGGTGAAGAAACCAAGACTTCAAAAGAATATGTAATTTCAGGTCATACACTATTTAATGGTTAGTAGAAAAAAATTGAATTTACTTGTTTCCATTTGTGCCTTCTTCTTAGTACATGATGAGTATTTAGCTTTGGATAACTGTGCTTAAACTGGTTTCTTTATCTGAAGAGCATATTTTGAAATAAAATTTTCAGCATCAAAGATTTTCACCTGGAATATCACATTAGAGGCAAATTAAATAGTATTTGCTGAGGCAAATCATTAAAATATCCTTCCTGAAGAATAAAGATCTCCAGCAGTTTCTACAACCAACACAGACTCTCACTCTCTTTGCAAATATGCAAAGCATATTTAAAATATGAACCCATAGGRTGACATGAAAGAGCCAACTTGAATTAAAAATGAGAAAGTGATTTATTTTATTTTATTGTACTGGGGATTGAACCTAGAGGTGCTTTACCACTGACCCACATCCCCAGCCCTTTTTAAGTTTTATTTTGAGACAGGGTCTTACCAAGTTGCTTAGGGCCTCACTAAGCTACTGAGGCGAATCCTCCTGCCTCAGCCTCATGAGTTGCTGGTTTTACAGGTCTGCTCCACCATGCCTGGCACGTGATTGATTTTAAAAGATAATTTCTGTCCTGTGATATTCTGAGTCCATGTAAGAGGTCAGACTGTACGTAACTTGGCCTGATTTTTGTTTTCGTTATTTAGAGGCAGGGAGGATCTCAGTCTAGGAGAAGGTTCTGAAAAATCAACACCCTTGTCTGTTTTTTGTGGTGTTTGATACTTTGAGTAGCTTGACTCATGCAGATATGCCAGGCAGTGTCAGCAACAGTGATGACGGGGTGTTTAAAGCTCTCTTGCTCCTGCTCACTCCCCTAACTCCTCCCAGGAGCCACTCTGGTGCACTACACTATCAAAGAAAATGCAAAAATATCATTTAGATTTTTGCCTCTCTACCTGATAACTGTTCTGGACAAATGTATTAATAAGAAGGCTAGGAAGGGAATATGTCAGACTTTTCCTTTTGGTTGTATTCACTTCCAATATGTACTGTCAGGAAGATGCAAATTTTCTTTTTAAACACAATGAATGGACATTGGTCTTTAAAAATTAGGGGATAGGGACTGAGGTTGTAGCTCAGTATTAAATTACAGCATGTGTGAGGCACTGGGTTCAATCCTCAGCGCCACATAAAAAATAAATAAAATAAAGGTATTGTGTCCAAAAAAAAAAAATTTAGGAAAAAACCTTGTTTATTTTATGAGAGGGTTAGATTCGATATTAAAATCCTTTTAATTTCATTTAAAGCATCCAATTTAGAATTAACTTCTGAGAAATTATTCATTTCAGAAATGGACAGAATTTTTTTTTTCCCTCAGTAGATCTCAGTAGTAGGGTATTTACTACCAAAACTATAGGGTGATATCTTTTTCTTTCTTTCTTTAAGAGAAAGATCTAAAACAGCTTTATTGAAATATAATTTGTATACCATAAAATCCACCCACTTAAAGTGTATGGCGTCTCTGTAATCTAATTTTAGAACATTGTCAACTTAAGTAGAAACTCCACACCCATTAGCAGTCACTTTTTTTTTTTTTTTTTTTTAGCAGTCACTTTTCATCTGATGTACCCTCCCAACCATAGGCAACCTTAACCTACTTTCTGTCTCTAGAGATTTGTCTTTTCTGAAGCATTTAATAAACATCAACGCTTCATTCCTTCTGGTTGCAAAATTATATTCCACTGTATGGATATACCACATTTTATTTTATCCATTCACTAGCTGATGGACATTTGATTTTTCTTCCATTTTTGACAATTATGAATAATGTTTTGAATATTCGTGTACAAGTTTTGGTCTAGGTCTGTTTTTATTTCTTTGAGTATATACTAGAAGTAGAATAGGCAATGCATTAAATCTTTCAGGACAGTAGAGTACCTAAAGACATATCAGGGTTATTTTACTGTCTAATTTCCCTGCTCCAAATAATAGCACACAGTATTTATAGGTTGCTTCATTGGTTTGTGGCTTCTTCCTGATTGTGAGACTTCTTCTTTTTTTTTTTTTTTCCACGTTTGAGAAGACATGAATATCCTTCACTGTCTCTACCCTTTCTGAGAATGAATAGAAGGTGTTGTCCAAAAAACTGTTTCCTACAAACAGGAAAGTTTTTTTGGACCCTTTTTCTAATCAGAAGTAGGTTATAAATKATTGGCAGAAAAGACATCCAATAATAACCCCATCAACTCACTTGAGGTGACTTCACTGGGCTGATGTCTCTTTGTTATGAGACAGGTAGCAATAATTATCAAGTCTGCACAATGTTGGTTGCAAGAACTGTGCAAGCATTGCGTGTCCTATTTGTTGCAATAGTGTAAATATATCTTTCTGAGAAGTACACACAGACCTTGATGTGATTTATTCATGACCAATAGCCAAGAGTCATGATTTGTTAYTTTCAGCTTTTGCTGGAGAGAGATAAAAGGAAAAAAGTCATCAAGTGCATGGTGAATGACAAAGGCCTTCAGGCTCATGTGAAGGCACTTTACTGAGGGGCTTCCAGAATAATCACACAGTGGCTTTTTAATATTAGCAGGCACATGAGAGCCAGCAATATATGTTGTTAAAATACTAGCACTTTCCTTGACAGGAAGGAAAACCTTCAGGGAACCCATGAGGCTCTTTCTCATTACACAATAGAGGTATATTTATCCAATTGAAAGTCAAATATGGGATTAGTGTTTAATATGGTTCTTACAGGAAACTAGGGCTGTGTTCTTCCACATCCTGYTCTTTCCCCTTATAGTAATTTTATCTTTTTCCTGACTTCCCTTTGTTACCCTCTGTGTCCTCACAACATCTCAGTTAACTGTTACAAGGAATGAGGCATGCTGATGATGCTATAGAAAGCTATAAAATAGGAAATACCACATGTAGTCTTTGAGATCTCTAATGAGGAACACAAAGCAACAGATTAAAACACTAAAATTAAATTTAAAATATACAAAACAGCAAAGCAACTACGATGGTACAATCATGGAACCAGGTTTCCATGAAGTGGTGACTACAGAAGCCAGGGTCACAAGAACAAAAAAATGAGTGGCAGGTTTACTACAAAAATATTCTAAAGGAAGTAACCATCTTTAAATACCCCGTTTTTAGGATTCTGAGCATGAAGTTGACCATCTGAACAAGAATACATGTAGAGACAAAAAGTTTTTTATATCAGCATTTTTCTAACTTTTTTGGTTGTAATAAATGAAATTATGAAACATTGTGATGTGCTGTGATATTTTCTACTCAATTAAATTCCATTCAGCTGTTATTTAAAATATTCATCACAGCCTACTACATTGATTGCATGACTCACTAATAGAACCCAGTCCTGCAGTTTGAGAAGCACAGTCATAAATGATAATCAAGACTTTCTTTAAGGTTATGACATTCATAGAGCAGAAGAACAAGCAAATGGACATGTGTGGGATGTGCAAGAGTCAAGCAGAACTTGTACAGTACAAATAAAGGAAGAATTATAGATCAGACCATTTTATAGACTATTTACTCAACATCACCTAGAAGAATTAAGAATGAGCATTAGAACTTGGCATAACCTTTATGAATGTAATAATGATTCATATTCTGCCAGGTGGGTGGAGTATACCTGTAATCCCAGAAACTTGGGAGGCTGAGGCAGTAGGACRGCCAAGGTTGGGGTCAACCTTAGTAACTTAGCAAGGCCCTAAGCAGTTTAATAAGACTCTTTCTCAAAACAAAAACATAATGATTCATATTTCATGCATATAAAATGATTATGCCACACTGAATACTTTGTCTCCAGTAATGTTCAAGGTATAGTATGAGTTCTGTCATTCTCAACAAATTCTGCTACTGTTCTCACAATTTCCATGGTTCTCACGGATTGGGTGGACCCTGGCTAACTTAGTGTGCTGACACACACCATTACTAACTTAGTGCTACTGTAAGAAGAATAATTTCTGCCAGGGGGCGCTACACATAGAATTGTGGCTGAGTTTGGGCACAGGATTCAGTTAGCACTTATTCCTATTTTGAGTCTGATCACTTAATTGCTGGGTGATTATCAACATATTAGTTAAAATTTCTAAGTTTCTCACCTATTGATGGGCAATAACTGGGGGTGTTTTGTAAAGATTAGATATAGATAAGGAACATTAAGTGCTTATCCTAGTCTTTGACACGTAGGAGGTTTTCAGTAGATGCTAACTTTCCTCCTTCAGTATAATTAAGCAGTATGTCCCAGCCCTCTGATAAAATGTCTCACCTGGGCAGTGAGGGTGGAGAGAGTGAATGTATTCTGAGGAATTTCCACAGGAGGTTTGGATATACCTCCATTCTGTCTTGAGTTGCATCATGTTAAATCATTGGCTGTGAGCTCAGGTGATGAGTCAAGATTGAACTGGACTCATAGAAAAAGGATGTAAATTTCACTTTAAAATTTAAATCTAGGGCTGGGGTTGTGACTCAGTGGTAGAGCACTAGCCTAGCGTGTGTGAAGCACTGAGTTTGATTTTTCAGCACTGCATATAAATAAATTAATTAATTAAGTAAAGGTCCATTGACAACTAAACAAAAATTTTTTWAAAAATTTAAATCTAGGGAAAGGTACTTCAGAGGAGCTCCTCTACAGCCTGAAGAAAGGTTAGCATCTGGTTAGCTGAAGGGGAAATCCAGTCTGGACCTAGTAGTAGTCAGAGTGTGAGGGGGAAGAGAGATGGTGAGGAAGTTCAGCTTCTGAAATAAGCTGCATGCTCAAGGAAATAGTATTTTGTATTCAGGGAAGAGTAGAATCATGTAAAAGCAAAAAACCCACAGTCCTCTATTTCAGAACAGGACCTAGACATAGATTTTCTGTTGTGATTTCAATAAGGAAAATATTCTCTAAATATTTGAGATCATCTGGGCTAGAAATTGAGAATCTGTGGAGATAGAAATATTCAAGAAGTTAAGGAGGGATAGGATGGGTAGGTTAAAATTGTATTTCTATTMACCACAAAATAACATATTTTTAGAGAGTATTATGGTTAGATATGTGGTGTCTCCCAAAATCTCATGTGTGAGACAATGCGGGGTTTAGAGGTGAAACGATTGGGTTATGAGAGCCTTAACCCAATCAGTGTGTTAATCTCCTGATAGGGAATAATTTAGTGGTGACTATGGGCAAGTAAGGTGTGGCTGGGGGAGATAGATCATTGGGGGCATGGCTTTGGGGTATATATTTTATGAGCTGAACTTAGTCTATCTGCTTCCTGATGCTACATCCTGAGCTACTTTCCTTCACCATACCCTTCAACCATGATATTCTGCCTCACCTAAGGAATGAAATCAGTCATCTATAAACTGAAAACTCTGAAACTAAGAACACCAAATAAGCTTTTCCTTCTCTAATTGTTCTTGTCAGGTCACAGCAGCGAAAAGCTGACTAAAGTAGAGGCATTTTTTAAAAAGTGATAGAAATTAGATAGTTTCTTATAGCTGTAAAAAGTGTGATAGAGCAGAAAGACCACAGATATGATGACCTGAGTTGCTATATTGTATTTGAATTACATTTTTCTCCACTAATAAATGAGGAGATGATATACTACACATACCTCATAGGACTGACGACCAGTTGAGGTCATTTGAATATCCTTTCATTCAKTAATTCATTCAATGTAGATAATAGTGATTTCTAGAGGATATAATTCCTTGGAAAAGATAAGATGGCCAGCAAGAGATAAAACACAGGGTAGAAGGTGATAAGTGTTACAAGATAAATAGTTTGAAAAAGAGAGGTTTGTTTATCTAGGGTAGTCTGGGATAGCTTCATGAAAGAGATAGAGAACATTTCCTTCCATGTTTGAAGGACAGCTTGTACTGGTAATCAGTAGTAGTAGTAGAAGATTTCAGGGAAAGGAACTAGCACAAGCAAAGGTATAGGATCTGAAAATTGTCCAGGAGGTGAGGTGTGCTAGAAAAATTGACTGTAACCATATTTAGGTGGAGTGCACTATGCTTTAATACAAGGAGTGGAAGATAAAGCCAGATACAGGAGTTGTAGGACAAAGATAAGGCCCTAAAGTACTTAGCAGACAACTTTGTAAGATTCTGGAAAGACATGTGCAACGATAAGTGCTGAGAAGATATAAACTTTCCAATTTTTTCTACTTATTAATATTTTTTGGGGGGGTTATGAATAACTCAGGTCACCTAGGTTCAAATTTTCTGTCTTCACTTTTTACATGGGCCAGTTATTTCACCTCACCAAGTATGACTTTCCAGATCTATAGGTGAAATGATAATCTATCTCTTTTAGAAATGAAATAAAACAATAAGCAAAAACACTTAACAGAGTGACCTGTACAAGAAGAGTTGCATTAACTAAGAGGTACATGTTGTAAATGCTACTTTTGCTGTTATTATTTTCAGGTTGTTCCATAGTAGCAGTTTGCAACTTTCTAAACAGGACTTCCTATCCAAGTAGCATCTCTTCTGACCTTTGGGAATGGAAGAAGCCACCTAGTAGTTGTCATTATTATTTTTAAACCCTTGGAATCAGAAACAGTCTTGGCTCCAAATATTTGGAAGTACTTTATTAACATTTATTTCAGAGTTTGGAATAATCTGCACATTCCATCTTAAACATTTTCTTTCTATCTTGAAAAGAGTCTCTCAAAATTAGCTTATTTGATCTATCAATTGAAAGGGCTCAGATTTTTTATTTTTTGGGCATTAGAGGTTGAATCCAGGGGCCCTTAACTCCCCAGCCCTTTTAATTTTTTATTTTGWGATAGGGTCTCACCAAGTTGCTTATGGTCTCAGTAAGCTGCCGAGGCTGAATTTGTGATCCTTCTGCCTCAGCCTTCCTAGCTGCTGCAATTACAGGCATGTGTGACTGTACCCTGCTAGGTTCAGACTTCTGTAATGGTATTTGATGAGTCCAAATCAATGACAGCTTTGTAGATTTAACTCTCTTGTTTACCTTCATCCCCATCCTGGTATCAGCGACTTAAAGTCATGCATATTGGTTTGGGTAAGAACAGCCTGTTTTGTAAGTGATTAGAGATGCTGTCTACCTCTTCAAAGTTGTGTGATAATCTGGAACATGTTTTAAAAATGGAAGGGTGATTAAGTAGAGGAGAGTCATAGCATTGTTTATCTAGAGTAATACTAGCTTTTTACCTCATGTAGACTTCCAAAAAAGTCTAAGGGGTCACCAATGCCTCCTTCTCATTTGAGATGTCTACCTAGCTTAATTAAACATAAGCAGTAGTGCTAAAACTAGAAATTAAGTTAATGAGATTCCAGGATGTTTACTACTGCTAATTATTTATGAATTATTTGTATGTCAAAAAAATAGACCACAAATGATTCGTTGGGTCAAAAATCACAAGAAAGCTTGTTTATTTTATGGAAATCAGGTACACATATTATTTAATTAAGTGTGTTATTTGTACAATCATTATATATAATATATATATCTTTTAAATAGTATAATTTAATAAATATGTATATCTAATATATATCAAATGGATATAATATATACAAGAGAACTCTTTGTAGAGAAAACTTCATGTGTAGAGCTAAAATCACCTGAATAACTACAACTCACTTGATTTTCAGAATAAATTTATAAAATAGACAGCTATTATTCCTATTTTATAAATGAGGAAACTAAGTTTTAGAGGGTTAAGTAACTTTTCCACAGAATATAGGATTTTAATATTCCTTTTGTTACTCATTTGCCCAAAGTAGGGATACTACAAGAAAAGGTTGGAGACACTGCCTAAGAAAACAATTGGCATTGACTACAAATGTCATTGATGACCTAAAACATGGAGGAGTTTATTTCTCAATTTTATAAGCAGTTAAAGTGAGGAGTTAAGGGTACAAGCTCTGAGGTTAGCCTGCCTGTATTCAGAAGATTTCAACTTACTTCATTATGTACTACTTGTCAAATTATGTAGACTGCAGTCAGGTTTCTAATCCGTAAAATAGGAACAGTAATAGTGTCTCTACTCTGGAGAATGCTGAATTAATTTAGGTAGAGAACATAACACAGRGCCTGGTAAAAGCTCAATGGATCTAAGATGTCAGTACTATTACTATACTGTTATTTCAAGTGAAAGATGACTTCTTACCTGAGGCCCGGGTGGAACGAATGCTATCATAGAAATACAAGCAGCCATCCTTCAGAATGCAATAGTGCTGGACCCACAAGTCTGTGCTTCTATCCAGCTGGTGCAGGAGGCCCAGACACTCTGGGTTTTTAATGGCCAAAGGTGGAAGACTGCTGTTGTGCAGAGTAACGTCTTCCCAGACATGGTTCTGAAAATGTAGCACAAAGGGATCATCTGAATGGTCATTCTGCTATTGACCTTTGGCAAAGCCATTGATTCCCAGAGACAGTGCCATCATGACCAAGTGTGTTTGATTTTAAGGAGACCACTGCCCCCAAATGATTCTATTATCAAGACAATCTGAATAATTGAGCAACTAATCCAAAAACCTAAAACCCAAATTTACCCATTGACCATAGAGAACTCTTCTCCTTTTTCAAGTCCATAGACATCCCTTCTCTTTGATTTCTATTGTATTCTAAGAAAATCAAAAGATTATCAGGCAAAGAGCAGGAGGTTGTGAATAGAAAGGAAATGGAAGTAAGCACCCCAGCAAAGATTTTTTTTAAATGCCTCTGCCTGWAATTGCTGGACCTGTTCTATTTTACTCACCGCTGGGGTTGTCCTTGTACATCTGTTCCTGGTATGTCCAGTGACTAAAAACAGCCCCTGGTCCATGCTTTTCTTTATCTGTAACCTCCATTTGTGCAAAGGAACAAGTTAAATGCCCCAGGCTAGCTCAAGCTTTAGGCTTTCATGGCCAGTGATGTAATAGACTGTTGATAAACTGGAATCCTCTACCCTGGAGGGCAGCCCTCAGTCCACAGGCATGAGACAGGCTCTTTCTGAGAACTCTGACTGAGGCTGGGGACACTGTGCTTTATCTCTTTATCAGAACCCTTGCTTATGCTTGCCAGTTTCTCTTCTTGTTTGAGTTTATTTTTGCCCTTTAGTTTTAACAAGGCAGTGCAAAAGATTTCAGGATGCAGAGCTTGCTGTATTCTTTTCTGTGAAGTGGCAGCCTGCTGGGAGTTTGGGTGTTCAGTTTTTCACTTTGCTGCAGACACTCTGAGTGCATTAGCAGAATAGATCCCTCTTAAAAATATCGAGGCTCATTAGGATGATGCATTGGAGAGATGGATGAGTGCATCGAGTGTTGTGTTCCAGGCAAAATGAAACACATGTCCTGCTGTTTGTCATATGATGATGTTTGTGATTGTTCTGAAAGGACAGTCAGGAGGCAAGGTATATTCATACTCAATCTGAATTTTCCCAAATGCACAAGAACCAAAATATAGAGAGAACATAATTGATGCTAAATGCCTTTTGCCTGCATGTCAATTTGTGAGGGAATAAGCATATTTAAAGAAAATCTATAACCTCATTAGAAATCATATCCATAGCATAAAAATGAAGCAATTGAGTATTAAAGCAATTTTTTCTTTCTCGACAAGGTTGTATATAGTACAAGCTCAGAAAGAGAACTATTGAATGCCTTAGGGGCTGAAGTGATGACTCACTTGCTGGTGTTATGAAGTTATCTATCACTTTATAGGTAAACTCTAAATTAAAAATGATATTGCTTCAAAATTGGGAATCTTGAGTGGAAATGAATATTGAAAGTTGGCCTGATATGTCTATAGAACAACAATATGAGAATAAAGCACTGTATATCCAAATATAATGATAAAAAGTTGCTCAGCCAACAGAACCATCATGAGATACCTCTGAGATCTTATCTTTTGGGGGTGTAAAGAAAACAGCAACGTTGGTTTATTATCATGGGGAACTACTGGACTGCTCTGTGTGAAACAGAAATTCCACCCCAGTTTGTGACTCCCTATTGAGTCTTACTGGGAAGGATGTCATACAAACCCCTGAAAATAAAAAGAACAGCAGGAATGCAAGCTTCCCCACAGGATCTGAGCAGAAAACCCTATTGACTTAACATCCTCTTTCTGAGCTTTTAGAACAGATCTAAGAAGTCCCTGGGTGGACTGCATGACATTTAACTTGTTCCTTTTCCCCTCTGAAAAGAAAAGCAAAATGAAGGCAGAGATAAATATCAAGGAAACTTTACCTGGTGAATAGGATGGGCCGCTTTTTCCATTGCCTCAAGCCACCTGCAAGACAGTAAAATGAAAGGAGCTATCCTTGGGGACTGGATTAGTGTCATTTAGAGGGGCTTGTTTTGCCAAATCCACCGTTCAGACAGAACAGTCCTGGGGCAAGATGTATTTTATTGCACTAAGTTCTTGGGTGAAGGGCAACATATTCTTGCAAAATTAGGTTTACTATGTGACAAAATCCCACCTCCAATAGCTATATTAAAAAATAAATTATTTCTTCCCCTCCTTAACTGTTGTTTAATTAGTATCTGAGAGAAAAATTATTCATTCTTTATTTTTCCAAGGTATGAAATTTATTAACACCAGTAGACCTGATAACAATTGGTACATTAATGGTAAGGCACTGTCTATTAAAATATGGAAAGACTGGTAAATGCTCCATCCTGTGTCCTTTCCCCAAGTGTTCCTTGGACATAGTGGTCACCTTTAGTACAGCATTAGTGTYCATTCTTTTTTTTGAGGGGGTGGGTACTGGGGATTGAACTCAGGGGTACTCAACAACTGACCCACATCCCCAGCCCTATTTTGTATTTTATTTAGGGTCTCACTGAATTGCTTAGCACCTCGCCATTACTGAGGCTGGCTTTGAACTTGCAATCCTCCTATCTCAGCCTCCCAAGCCACTGGGCTTACAGGCRTGCACCACCATGCCCAGCTTAGTGTTCATTCTTGAAGGTTGAATTTTCTTAGTCTTCCCTCCTTAGCCAGACATGATTAGAAATCATATCCACTGCATAAAAATGAAACAATCCAGTATTAAAGCGATTTTTCCCCTCAACAGTTTGCATGTAGCACAAGCTCAGGAAGAGCTATCAAATGCCGTCAATAATAAACTCTGCTGATCCACTGCCTTTCTTGTATTTACTCCCTCTCCTTAATTCTATCCATCCCTCACTCCAGATAAGCAGCATTTTCACTGCAGTTTCCAGTTGATTTACTAGATTTCCCAGTGAACTCCATTTCCTCTGGAAGACAGGGTAAGTAATAATCATGGTGGCTGAATGGTCATAGCTTACAGGACACTTTCTTAAAAATTCATGCACACTTCTTCCTTTGGGTATTGTGYTCACAAAATGTCAACTGTGTTCATACTCCTCAAAACTATACAAATTAATTAATCAAGCTCATCTCAGTGYGGTGTATTAAGCTTCAATCCTTCTACATTATTTTTATACCTAAGACTATCAATCTAATTAGCTTCAAATACATCTATCTGGCAGTTTTGGGGGATACTAGGTGTGAATTCTAGCAGTATTGAGGTTTTTTTTTTTTCAGAAAATACAGAAATCTAAAGCAATTGAATTAGCAAAACATAATTATTTTCTTTAGAAATTCTCTTAGCAAAAAACCTGAAGGCATAATGAAAAAAGTAATCTTCTCACACCTAAGGGAAAAAACAACCAACTTGTTGACTCATGCTATAAATTTGTCATTCCCTTTTCTACTTCAACTGCCAAGAATCTTTTAGGCTGTCATTGAAGAAGCATTTTTCCATTCAAAATGAAACTGGTAGGGTAAAAGATTAATGAATTACCTTTTCATTTCTTGGTTTGAAGTTGCACAGAGGCAAAGACTTCTATTTCCAGGTGGAGGGACACAGTTAAACACAAATGATTTTCCCAAGCTGCTATCTATACCAACTTCTGCACCTTCTAACTTYATTACCTCTAGAGGTGGCCACTTTCCTTCATCCTGTAATTGATAAGGAAGATGTTAAGTACTGATGCTGTAATTACATAGACAAGGGAGAAAATGAGAGAGAGAAAAGGAAGACTAAAATGATTGCTTTAAATTGATTTTTTTTGGTTCTGTCATGAAAATAAAAACAAAAAGTTTTTGCAGGTGGCACATCTTTCTTAATATAGYTCATGGAATTCCAAATTTTCTACCTGTGATATTTTTCACATCATTTTTGAACAACCACTATTAACATGTGTTTCATTTATGACAACTTAGGAAAGTATCAATAATTATTAATGCCCATTTTTTTCTATCAGAAATAAAGAACAGCAAAAGAATTAACATCACAAAAYATACATGGCTGGTAGTGACATAACATCTCAACCTAGTACCTATAGTTATTGTATATTTTATGCTTATTGTGTGTCAGGCCTCTTCTAAATTCTTTACATCTATTAATTGATTATCCTCACAAATGCAAATGAGGAAGTTATTCTTATCATACCCACAAGCTCAGTGAAACTGAAGAACATTTTTGGGTTTTTTTTTTTTTGGACTGGGGATTGAACCCGGGGCTCTTTAACACTGAGCTACATCTCCAGCCCCTTTTATGTTTTTGAGACAGAATCTTGTTGTTTGGGGACTTTTAATTGCTAAGGCTAATCTTGAACTTGCGATCCTCCTGCCTCAGTCTCCTGAGTCACTAGGATTACATGCAAGAACATTTTTCTTTAAAGGACAGTCCTTTAACATACCATAATACTCATGTAAACTGAAAATTATTTTGTAGTATTTTCTTATTTGTACTTATTTTACAATTATTTCCCAAAACATCCTGTCCACTATACATATTTGTTCTAAAAATATCTACTGTAGATATAATTTACATACCATGAAGCCATTCATTCTACAAGTACAACTCAATGGTTTAAGTTAAATTTATATTTAGGAAATTAGAATCATAATTCAATTTTAGAACTTTCCCATTAACCCTAAAATTTCCTCTGAGACTATTTGTAAATTGCAACTATCTCCTTCCTATCAAAAACAACCAAAGACATATTTTCTATGTTTATATAGTTGCAACTTCTGGACATTTAATACAAGTGGAATTACAAAATATGTAATCTTTTGCGACTGATTGCTTTCACTTAGTGTAATGTTTTCAAGTTTCTTCTATGTTGTAGCACTTATCAATAAGTCATTTCCTTTTATTGCTGAATTATATTCTGTTGCATGGATATGCCACATTTCACTTATCCATGCCCAAATTGGTGACTTTTTTTTTCAGTTTTGTGCTATTTTGAATAACACTGCTATGAATATTTGCACATATATCTTGGATATATGCTTTCATTTCTCTTTCATAGGTAACCAAGAGTGAATTTTCTGGGTCATATGGTAAGTTTATTTTTAACTTTACAAGAAATGGCCAAATATGTTCCCAAGTGACTGTACCATTCTACATTTCCCCCACCACAGAATGAATTTCCCAGATTCTCTACACCCTCATAATAATCAGCAATGTTTGTATTTTTGATAGACACCCTACTATGTGTATGGTGGTATCTCATTTTCTAAAGGCAGATGATGTGGAACACCATGTAATATGCTTATTGACTATTGAAATGTCTTCTTTGGTGAAATGTCTCTTGTTTAGTCAGTGTTTTTCAAATATTTTATGAGAGAAATATTTTCTGAGAAATCAAGTAATAAATGAAACAGAGAACTTAATCCCTAGTATAATAGCTCTGTCTTCCTATATAACATCTATCAAATTTCTGATTTCTTGAGTCACTGGAATTTGGGGACTGCTGGCTCTGGAGTCAGCACTTGATGGTTATGATATTCAACATCCAGGTGTCAGAGTTATCTCCTGATACCATTAACTTCCCTGAAATAGCACAGAGTCTAAAATTTTTATCTGCTTTGTTATATATCAGAAAGTTGGCATATCTTATAATAATAATAGTGCATGGTCAATAATATATTAGGAACTAGAAGAATATATTTTCATTTGCTTTAATGAGGATAAAGACCATGTGCCTATACAAACAGGCTAATTTTTAATCTTTTTCTTAGGAACATCTTAAATGGCAAAAATTTATATAAATGAAGCTTGGAGGTTTTAGTCTATTGGTAAGAGATTGATATGTTCATTTGCTAAAAGCAAATGCTCACTGGGTCTGCTTTCTGTGGACGCATTTTACAGATAGGATGGTGCAGTATGTTGGTCTCTGTGTCAGTGCTGTTTAGTCACACTCTACTGCCAGTGCTCTCTCACATCCTTTGCTGTAGAATACATAAAAGTTCACTTATACAGTTCATGACACACAGCCAAGAATAGTACCTCAAGTCATGAGCAGAAACAGAGACTGTTTCCCCTCTGCTCAAGTTTCTTCTGTTTTAGAAAATGGATTACCGAGTGCGCTGTATTTAAAAACGAGGGCTACTCTCTCTTCCATGTTCTCCATCATGGCCCAGATTCCACTTTTACTAATCTCAGCTGCTGCCTCATTGCCCCTGTTTATGAGCCTGCTCTGGCCCTTGGAGCAGCTGCAGTAAAACCATGGTCACAGAGCCTGGCTCACAGGGGTTGGTGCTCCTGCAGCTGCACTGACTCATCCTACTTTTTTTTCTCTCAGTTTCARCATCCCAGGCAACTTTAAATTGCACTCTTGTGGAGGTGCAGAGGTTAAGAAAAGATTGTCCATTTAGCCTAATCCTAATGCTGCCTGGATGATGGTGCCACATTCTCCAATCAGATGTTTTCTAGAGAACATCTTCACTGCAATGCCCCTGAGGCTTTTAACTCATCCCGTAAGCAAAACTCTATCCCTCAGTTTGGCAATGAATATTAAACTGGTTCTGTTTGATCTCCTCCCCACAGCTCTGCCAAAAGTCCCTCTTCTGTCAGTGCTAGAACAATGAAGATTTCTTTAAGACTCTGGTTTCCCCACAATTTTACATTTTCCTGTCCAAGGCGCAGAAATTCTTTAACTCCAATTTTCTATTCCTGAGCCAAGTCATAGATGCAGCTGCTTCATGCGTGCAGGATTGATTAAAAYGGCAGAGATGCTGGAGGGATTTATCAAGGAATTGTTTCGTGATGTCCAGAAGCTATAGACTGAGAATAAGGGAATTTGGGCTGTTCATGCCAGATGGCACTGGGTGATATTGACATTGTCTATCATGGAGAGAATACTTCTGCAGAAATAATCCCAAAGGTCAGGATGTTCAGAAAAAGGGAACAGTAAGCAATAATAATGACAAAAACTCAACCTAGAGTGAATCCAATTCTAAATTAAATTATTTCTTCAGAGAAAAATACAGACAAGGACATTTGTATCTTTCTGCAATCTGGCTCTGCTAAAATAAAATTACCTACACATATTTTCGAATCATTTGCTTTGGTCAAAATTTTGGTTTAAATATGCTAGAAATTATTTGTTGATGTCAGACCTCCTAGTCTAAGAGAAGAGAAAATGTGGGGACACTGTACTGATATGTTTCATTTTATCCAGAGACACAGCCATGAAAATCCACAAACTAAGGAGGTGGGAAAGGCATCTTTAGCTATGGGAGAGATCTAATTCTCAGTGGGGAAAACAGAGCCAAGATAAATTTAGAGGGAAGAAAAAGCAATGTCCTAAAGCAAAACATCACATGAAAGGGTACATGAAATACACAGCTAGGGAGCTCTATTTAAAGCTGGAAGGTTGAATCAAATTGAGGAATGTGTGTCCCTCCGAGCCTTATTAATGATGCTGAGAGCCCTTTATCTCTAGGTGGCAGTTTAAAGTCATCCCCTCCTTGTCAGTGACTGAAACCATCACTCCTAGATAGCTATGAGATGATGGCCTCTGTCCATGTCACAGCTGATGGGATCAGGAGAGCAGCAAAACTACATGGGAAAAGGGAAAGAGACATAAAAGGGTGATTTCACTTTTGCTATCTTTGTTCTGTGAATAAATAATTCTTGGCTCTCAGAGCACTGGAGACCCTCATTATACCACTCAAAATTATTTATGTATGCAAACATTTATGTATGTATGTATGTATATATGTATATATTTATTTATGCTTTCTTACCCCACCCCCTCCAGGTAGGCAGGATAGAAAAGGATGGAAAAGATTAGAAAGCTGAAGGTAAAATAAATAGGCAAATGAGACCCTTGTTCATGGACAATACTGGGTTTCCTGTCAAAGCTTTACAGATTTGACATTTCTCTTTTACTTTGATCAAAGAATTGAGATGAATACAATTCCAGGGCTCCCAAAGTTGCAGCAATTCTGSAACATCAGAAGACAAGTACTTACATTAGATATTTAATCCTTAAGTATGATTTCCTGTTTTTAGAAAAATGCCTGACTGCATATGTGACATCAGCAGAGGTAACTGGCTGCAAACTCAGAATTTTGTGCTTTCCTTTTCAGCTTTCCTGGAGTAGGGAATCATGTTTTAGGAGTGATAAATACATGCTGGCTGCACCATGTTGTTTCCTGGCACCAAGGAGACTCCAGGCTCCAGGAAACACTGGCAGCCCTTGCAACTGAATGAGTTCATCTGTACCAGACCAGTGATGATCCTGTGCCCAGACAGACAGGCTTCCGCTGGAAAAATAGCCAAGGAGAGGGGTGCCAGTGTACCGGAGTCTGGGCTGCCAGGGCTCTACAGCTTTGAAGAGACATTTCTGGCCTCAATCACATGGCTTATTTGTCACCATTTTTCTTGGCTCCTAAACCATCCCTTAGAGTATGACAATTACCACCCAATACTTTTTTCATAGCAGAAAGACTCTGAAGGGTGACACTGAGACATAGTTATGACCTTGTTGGCAGTCAGAGTTGCAAGATCAACTGAAAAAGGCCTTCATTCTGCATCTTAAATTCAATTAAATAGTTATCCTAATAGGTTGCCTGCTTAACTTCGTGTATGGTGTAGTTCCTCTTATCTTGGGAGGGTACATTCCAAGAACCCCAGTGGATGCCTGGAAGAAAGACACACTCAC